GATTTATTGTAGAGATGAGGTCTCGTCAAGTTGCCTAGGAGGGTCTCAAACCCGCAGGCTTAGGCAATTCACTCACCTCAGCCTCCCCAAGCGAGGGATTACAGGCTGAGCCACTGAGCCCAGTTGGGTCACAGTTATTTCAGAGGGTCCCCAGTGAGGTCTCACTATCTGTTTTCTCATGTGCTTCCCCTCTAGCCTACTATTGGTTTCCACTTGGATGCTGCTTGAGGGTTTCCCACCCTTCCCCTTGTATGCATCCATTGATACTTGTGATTAGATGTTCTTTCTCAATACTGAAAAACATGCAGATCCTTAGAGTTTGCTAGTCCCTGGGGTCCTAAGACATTGCTTTTGCATCACAACCATGTCAATTCTTACCACCTAAGCTCTGATGCTATTCCTTCTGCCCTGAATTTACTTCATCCCCTCATCCTATTAATTGAACACATGTATTCATGGGGCTAGGCCAAAGCCAATACCCTAAACAGATACTGTGCTGCCTTTTTCACCCTCTTGCACTCCCTTCTCCCTCATGCAGTAGTCTCCCCTTCCCTAACAGTTCACCAGACACGTGCAGCAATGTATGAATCCCACTTAAGATCTGCTGACACCCTCCCACGGATCACTGTCTGCTCCCTATGTTGGAGAGCACTCCCCAGTTGGATAAAAAATTATTTGGGGTTGGAGGCCACGTTTGAGAATTCCTTACCTTCACAGCAGTGAACATTGATGTGTTAGACTCGGTTCAGAGGCAGCTTAAGAAGAGGTGTTGATTGATTGGTTAAACAAGTATTGATAGCTCATGGCTGAACCAGAATGAGAAACTTCTTTAGGCAGGAAAACATTCATTATTTCAGTTAGGGTGACTAAGCACCTCAGTTTGTTCAGGAGCTTCCCAGTTGTAGCACTGAATGTCCTATTCTTCAGGAAATTCCTAAGTCCTGGACAAACTGGATGGTTGGTCACCTAGCACTAGCACTAGGATTCTCCAGTTTGAAATATGCCCCTTCCACTTGAGACCAGATATCCATCCTCTCATTCTAACCTCATGTGTCTGCTTCACCCCCAGGACACACACTGTCACAGTAGTCATGCCACCATTATCAGGTTCCCTGTTCCCTCACTTGGATCAGGTCATATAGATTAGTGGTGCACAATTCCTCCAGATTTTACGGTCTGCTAGAAAATGTTCTTGTCCTTTCAACTGCTCCTCTCGGCTTTCTGACTCTCTCAGTTATTGCTCTTTGTGACATTTTTACTTTTCTCTAATCAGCCAAGGGCCTGGGTGGAAATACAGTACTTTCAACCACGAGGGGCTAAATTTCAGATATGGCTAGCATCTGCCTTCTGAATCTTTGTGGAATGATTAGCCCTTAACATATTTTCTCATATTGTATTTGATTGTCATCCTTGGGCAGTGACAGCTGAGGAATCCCTTGTATGTGAGCTTTTTATACCTTGTTATACTCTCACAGTCATAATTGCTTCTTTCACACTGATATCTCCAACCCTTCTACCAGTACTTGGGCCCAGCACAGCCTTACCATCTGCTCATGTGACACCAACATTATGCCCTCCCTCCATGCATTCCTAAATGGGGCTGGGGAGGCAGCAGAAATGGCAAGTATGCCAGCTGGCACCAGTGACACAAGCCTAGACAGTGATGAATCATGGCTTAGGACGGGGAGGAAAAGGGGGGAGTGTGCGAATGGCTAATTGTGCAGCATCATCAGTGCAGTGAAGCAGACCTCTTTGCTCATGGAGGGGGAATCAATGTGCGTTGTTTCTGTTCCTGTAGCAAATGCATCAGATTTTTAAAAAATATATCGTCGCACATTTCAGGAAGCTGGGGCGGCAGCATCACTTGAGGCCAGGAGTTCAAAACCAGCCTGGGCAACAAAATGACACCCTCTCTATAACAACATAGACAAACAGACAGATATTGATACATATTACATAGATATAGATATGGTCAAAAAAGAATCTTCAACAGAAAAGAAACTAGAAACCGAGATTGGAATTGTTCTATTTGTGCTTCTATACATCTCTAAATGACTAATTATTTGAGGAACTTTTCAGGGAGTTTGAGGATTGCTTGCAAATGACAGAGAGGAGTTGCTGGCTGCTTAGGGGAAGAGCCAAAGCAAACTGATTCATACTGGTGGGTCAGTTCTGTCGCATAAGCCGCTAAAGCTCCCACATACCACTACCACACTTCAAGTGTCCAAGGTTCTCTATTCTTTATGTCCTGCAATTGATTGATTCATTCATTCATGCAGTTCTCTCTGAATGCTGCTTTCAGAAGTAAATCAATCAGGCAGCAGCTGTTCAAGATTTGTTCTATAGATTTCAAATTTAGACATATGTTTTTTGTTATTATTGATTTTGATGTTAAGACATTTCTATATTTTAAAAGTATCTATTCTTTGCATTGTAGTGAGTCCTTTTCATATATGTCTTTGTTTTTACTTCATTTTTACCTTTCCACTTTTTTTAAGAGGAGGTGGCAGCACAAAAGTACCCAGTAAAATACAGTACTCATCCTGAATAGAGGAAGCTAGATGCCATTTTTGGTTTTTGTTTCTTTTTTATCCAAAATCCCTCATAAAGTCTGCCTAATTCTAAAGCAGATATTTCCCAAGAGCTTATGAAGCAAGAGTGAGAAATGTGTTTCCAGCCTCATAGGTGAGATAGATACACAAGATCCAAGATCAGCCCTGTGCAAGGGACAGAGATGGCTCCAGAGGTAGAACCTTAAAGCTGTTGGAATCCAGTGTTATTTCATCTTCAGAACATTCAAGTTAGCAAGCTAGGTTTTTTCCCCATCAGATCAGCTCACTTGACTAGTCGAGCATGAAAGAAATATAAACATCATACCTTTGACTTTATAAACCAACTGTAGGCAAGAGCACCCATTAGCAGGGGCAGCTTTCAAGCACCTCTCAGTCTTATAGGAAACATACTTATCTAAGTCTCTTCTCTGTTGCTGTAATGAAAAGAAATAAACCAATTACTTGAAACATCTGAGATGGCTGGCATAAAAATTGAGGATTTACACATGGTAACAATAAACAACTTAAGGCATGGAGAAATGCATGGGAGTGTCCAGATGACTGAATGGTTAGAAAGTGTGAAGGGAGATCCACGGGGCAGAAAATGCCAGATACTAGAAAAATATAATTCTTGTAGTGCCAGAAATAAGTCATGTGCAAGGGATATGAATGAAGAGTATGATTTGTGGCCTACCTGGAACAAAAGGAACTGTGGTGATGGAAGTGGCTAAATGACAAAGACCTTATATCACATAGGAGCTTGCATTGAGACCCATTACAACTGGGAGATAGGAAAGTCTTCTGAGCCAGAGAGGAAAGGTATTGGAAGAAGAATTCTTAATCCAAATGACCTTTAAAGAAAATGACACTATTTGCTATGGTGAGGAAGAATTGCAAAGGTGCTGTCCCAGAATAGAGGCTGCACTGCCTCCAAAGAATGGTTTAGAGTGTGGCAGACTTTAAGGGCTGTGCTTCAATGTTCTGGCTAAGGTAACGAATATGAAAACGGATGAGAATGGCAAACATTGCCTCTCTGCCTGGAACTGAGCTACTTTGTCTTCCCCATCTCTCGCCATCTTTTTGTATATAATGCAGTTTTGACATCCTGATACAGTTAGTGTTTTGTTTTTTTTCCCTGGAGAGCAGGAAATGTGGGTTTTTAGTCCTGACTTTAATACTATGTGACCTTGAGTTAGTCATGAGAACTAGAGTAAGAACTTGAGACTTCCTAAACAATGAAAAGATTATGGTTTCCTCTCACTGCCCTATCTATACTTCTAAATAAAAACAATTTTAAGCCTTAGACAAAGATGTCATACCAATTTCTGGGTTTTTTTTTAACATAATAACTTTGCCATTAAACAAGTTAACATTTAAAAATATTTTTTCTCCATTTTAATTTTCCTGCCTTGTTAATGCACAGTCTAAGTACAAGTTTCATTTACTTATTGGATAATCAAACAGTGATCAGTTCCATCTTTGGGGCCTTACTTTTCTCATCTGTGAAATAAAGTGTCAGATGGGAAGAACTCCAAGATCTCTTCCATCTTAAGTTTCTTGATGTCATAACCACAATGAGCTAATTTTATCTATATTTATCACTTTCTTATCTTAGTATCTTTGTGTTTTTCTAATATGAATGAAAAAAATCAGCTTGTGTTTTCACATTCCCTCAATTCCATATACCTATTAAAAGCTTTAGCTAACCCTCAGTGAGCAATGAGGATATTTGAATCAAAATGAAAGGACAATTGTGTCTATTTTTACATCTAAATTTTATGAAGGTTATATGTCTATAATAAGATATGATCATCAGCAAAGCCCTTGATTTACTGGTGGGAATTATTTTGGAATAAAGGAAGAACCATTTTGGAAAAGAATAAGAATCGTGTAGAATACCTGCCAATAATTTAGGGTGTAGAAATTTCCCTTAATTCTTTTAGGTTTTAACTTTCCTGTTCATTCCTTCATTTGTTTATTCCTTCATTTATTCATGATTCACCTACCTCATATATTTTATAAGGTAAGTCTACCTCTAATATGTTATAACATTTCTCGTGAACAGGTCTCACATATCTTTGTCTTGCCAACTCTTATACCACTGGCCTTTGACTTGTCACCCTTGTCCCAAATGGATATATTGCCTTGGTTCCTATGCATACTCTGAGGGGGCAGCAGCAGGGGCTGGGTCTCTCCACAAGTCTGGCTGGGATCTGCCTTTCAGACGGGAGCTGCTCATTATTTGCTGGAAGGTTTATAGAACAGATGTTACAAGGCAGACAACCAAGCACACACACTCCCAGAGCGCACTGCGCCAGGCACGCACACACTCGCCAATACCAATATCAGGAGAGCCGCTGCTGGGGTGATGGAGGGAGTGTGCTCTGAGGGGCGAGGGCTGCTCCGAAGCCCTGCTAATGTCTCTGTGTGGCCATGCTGTATTTTCAGCTTGTCATCATGGCCGGGACAGTGCTGCTTGCCTACTACTTCGAATGCACTGACACTTTTCAGGTGCATATCCAAGGATTCTTCTGTCAGGACGGAGACTTAATGAAGCCTTACCCAGGGACAGAGGAAGAAAGCTTCATCACCCCTCTGGTGCTCTATTGTGTGCTGGCTGCCACCCCAACTGCTATTGTAAGTACAGAAATAGACTTCCTTCCTTATTGTCAGATACCCAAGAATATTTCCTGTCTGCTTTTTCTCTCTTTTCCCTCTTCCTGGGCACTTACCAGCAGCCTTATCAGTGGTATCCCATTTCAGCCAAAACAGAGTGAATGGAGCTCTGCATAAAAACTCATTAAAATAGGTCTTGTATTTTATAGGTTGCTTTTGCTTTTTTTGTGTCTACATTTTTTAAAAGATAGGTTTTTTTAAAAGCATGTGTGGATATCATAAATCAACAGGCATGATTGGCTAGTGTATTAAGAATAGCCACTGTGCTCTTGAAAAAAAAATATGCTGTGGGTTGTGTATTCAGAGGAAAGCCTGAATGTAAGTGTTGATGATGATAGAAAGGCTCAGATCAGAGTAGAATAGAATCCCCTGGGCCGGTATCTCCTGCTGTTCTGTTTGAACTTCCAGAGAGGCCAGAGATGAGAGAAATTGCTTGATCCGATGTTTGCTGTGTTTCATTCTTGATGGCTCTGGCTCTGTTCACATTACATCACAGTCAATTAAATTGCAACTTTACTTTCATTTTTTTCGTTTTCTCTCTCATGAGGCAAAAAAATTAGCCAGACAATCCTGTAGGGAGACTGCTTAAGAGCATAAAGTTTACGAATATGTGTTGTCTAGTCAAATGATTTAACCCTTAGCCATTTTAATTTTTATTTCATGATATTTTGTGGGAGTTTTAAAGTAAACGTTTCTGTATCTAAACATGCCACAAGGTCTGATGAGTTGGCATGTAATCTCAGTTCCTAATCCCCTTTTCTCTTCTAATGGCTTCCTCCCCCCAATTCTCCTTCCTCCTTACCTACCCTCTAGTTTCTCTTTTGGGCAATCATAAAAATATTGACTAGCATACTGAGGAATTAACTGATTGCCCAGACATTCAGTTTAAATGTTATTTTCTTTGCTAATGTTTTACTTGCTTTAAGATAAGAAATTGAATAGAATTTTGAGGAGAAATAATATAAACATAATAAGTTTATCTGAATCACTGATCCTAGTTTCAACAAAGCCTCCCTCCCTTAAACAATAAGACCATGCTGTAGTATTAAGGTCAGCATTGAAAAAGCTGCAATATGATGTAATAGAGTGGTTAAAAACATAAGTTTTGCAGTACTTGGATTCATATCCTGGATGTGTGACTTTGGGCAAGTCACATTACTGTTCCTTCCCTTTCAAAATAAGGACAATTAGCTACCTACTTCATGAGCTATCATGGGGCTTAGAAATGATGTAGCACAGTGCCTGGCATGTGCTAAGTGGTCAGGAGTAGAGAAACAAAAAATCTGGCTGGAAACTGTTTTCTCCCTTTGGGATCACTGACCAACTTCCTCTATCTGGGAAAAAAAAAATGAGATTTCACTGAGGAACTTCATAAGATCTTTTCTGTCCAGTTCCAGAATGATGGCATGCCCTCCCCTCCCCCAGAGGAAGGATAATCTCTATATCCTTTTGACTCACCTGACAAATAAGAGAAAAGTATAGAAGGTACCCTTCCATGTGCCTCACAAGATGACACACTCCACTCCCCAGATAGAAACAATAGGCCAGATTGGATTCTGTCTGAAATGGCTTAATGGTGGCTCTCCCTGGAAGCAGCAGGCATAGACTAGAATTGGATCCTGTTTATTTTCTATTGTATAAGCAAATTATTTCCCTATGTATTCAGACATGCATCCCTGAGTGAGCCACTGACTTAGTAACATATTTGCCTCCCTTCTTTCCAGTCCCAAGAAATATCATATATCATTGTACAGGTCCTCCCATAATTACTTATTGAAATTGCAGAGTTTTTTTTATTTTAAAAAAAAATCTAAGAAAGGCAAGGAAACCTGATTAATAAAAAGTATGAGCAGAAAATTAGAACTAGAAGACAATAGAGTTGATAAATGAAATCAGGAGGTATTATTTGAAGAGTAAAATGTACAGCCCCTTGGGTAGTCTAATATAAGAAAAGAAGTAAAAATAAAGTTAGGAAAAAAATATATACATAAGCAAAAATAAATAAAAATATAGTGTAGACATTTAAAGGTTTATTTAAATTGCATATACTGTTCTGTGCCAACAAATATTTATATCTCAGTAAAATTGATAATATTCTATGAAATGATAGTTTACTAACAATTCCTTATATCAATAAAGAATTTTTAAACGATGTAACAAAGCTGAATAGATGGATAGCAGTAGAATAAAATTTTAAACATGCCTAAAATTTGTCTTAAAAGATACCACTGGGGACACATAATTGTAGAATAATTTTCTTCAAATTTTCAGGAATAAAAAAAAATCACAAACTATTAAAATGTTCCAGAGCCTGAAAATAATGGAAAGCTTTTCAATCCATATTACAAAAGAAGTAAAGTTTAGATTTCAAACACTTCGAAATTAAGTCCACGTAAATATCCACAAAAGCACCCTCAATAGTTACAGTAGTCTTACTTAGGCATGTTGATACAAGCGTATAAAAAAGGATTGGTAGATTTGTCTACCTAAAAATAAAAATTTCTACAAAATGTAAATAAAGACTGCAAAAAGTTTGTAGCATACGAGATTCAAATGTAAATATTCCTAATACTTGTAAAGATGAAATTTCCAAAATAAAAATGAGCAAGGACAAGAATAGACAATTAGCAAAATAAACAATAGTCTGTGTGTATATAAACATTTCTAAATTCATCAGTAATCAAAAAAAATAATTTTTAAAGACATGACCCTTACCCCATATAAAATTGGTAAATATTTTAAAGGAATATAGTCCATGTTGTCAAAGGTGCAGATACTTTCATACGATTCTAATCAAAGTGTAAATTGATATTTTCTTTCTGAAGAACAGCCTCTCAAAGATGTATTAAGAACTTTATAAACTTCAGACCCACGTTATATGTTAAGAAAATGATCCGAGTTTTATATAATTACAATATTTGTGTATAGGGGTATCAGCAATTTTTATAGTGAGAACCTTGGAAGTAGCTAAATATACAATATTAGAAGATTGGTTAAATACATTATAGGGCAGTCATGTTTTTGAAACAATATAGTGATGATACATATTTGTGATTTAATATTTAGGATTTTTAAAGGCCAATATTGTAGGTAAAATCTTTTCCCCTTCTGTAAGAAAATCTGACCTCTTAATTTTCTGGCTCTTTCCCAAGAAAAAGATGATATGTATCAACTATGTCACTAGGCAAAATTGATCCCTGACTGGTGTATTGCATGTGACTTCTCAGAGTTATTACCTGAGGGAGTGCCGTGCTATGACTTCCAGCTGCAGTGACTCTAACTTGGCATGTCTATTGTGGGATCCTGGAAACTATGGAGTTGCTATACCATATATCGACTTCTAAATCCTGGAGTTGCTATACCATATATTGACTTCTACAGGGCATGCAGCTTTTAAGCCTGGGTAAATCCTGAATCCCTCAAGATACGTAAGTAGTCTTCATGCACCTGAGTTGTATGAAGTTGGTTCTGCTGGACCACTGCAAGGACACATGCTGAAGAGAAAGGGGTAATGATACCCTGCTGGCAAGCTGTGGTCCCTTCCAAATAGACCAGTGCCTGATGTAGCCTGTGATTGTCTGTAAGTCTGAATATTTAATAGATTCTGAGAAGATACCTTGTAGGTGTTGCAAGTATAATCCCAAATTTATAATTATATGGAAAGGTTACAGAGAAAAAAATTAAACATTTTCAGCCATCATCTCTGAATGCTAATGTTATAGTTCATTTTTTCCTCTTATACTTTTATATTTTTTTCCAAATTCTATACGAATGTGTATCATTTTTAAACCAAAAGATATGTTTTTAAAACAAATTGTGGACTCCAGATCTTTTGTCAATAATTGTGAAATGACCAAACTAATAAGGCTGGAAAAATGGCAATTCTGATTTCAAAAAAAAATACACACAAATATATATATGGAGAGAGAAACAAAACGTTATTAAAAATTTTCTCTTCTCGTGGGCAAAATGATAGGCCTTCCATTCTAAGATTTCAGCAGAAACTCTTCTCCAGGCTACAGCTTTTAATCGCATCTCTTCCACTGATTCATTTTCTCCAAATGACTTGAATTAAAATAAAATGTAGAACAAATGATCCAATGGGAACCCATTGTTCCAGTGGGATATAGCCAGTGGACAGTGAAGAGAGCACTAAGTACCTTCAGTTTTTTCAAGCTCTCAGTTATTAAATCCTGATTCACTCTTCCCTTTCTTCTGCTTCTCTGGGTGAAAAATATGGCCAACAATGCTAATAAGTCCCCCAAAATATGTGCTGAAGAATATCCTATAAATGATGATGGTATAAATAACATCTTTTAAAATACTTATATTCTGCAGTCATGGCCTAACTTACCTCTTTTCAATTTAACTGGGTTGTTGTAAAGATATCTCAAAGAATATAGAGAAAGTCTGTGGTCCAAATCCCTTCATTTTGAGTTGAGAACTTTGCAACTTAACTAGGTTAGATGCTTTGCTGAAGGTTCCAGCTAGTTCTGTACATGATTAAACAAACAGCTACCCATTTGGTTCCACTTTTTAACCTCCCAAATAAGGGACATTGCTTGGAACCAGGACTGATTACAGCTGACGGGTTAATGGCAGAGAACTGTGTGGCCTTGCCACCCTGCTGACTGTGCTTGATCTTCCCTCAAGATGTAAAACTAAGTGGGCAGCAGCAGGATAGAAAGCAAAAGAATTCTTCTGACGCTCAGGGAAATGTCTTAGGAGCAAGGTGCTGTGTTCACTTCTTCTGGCCCATCCTGGTGAGGTATGGCTTGTGCAGAAAAGCCATTGTTGGGACATGGGGTCACAGATCCCAAGTGCCTACCTCAACCAACACCCCTGCTTCTGAGTATGCATCCTTTATTCCCCTTAGGATGCAGTCATCTTGTCTCAGGTTTGGTCTTACTAAAGAGTCAGGGATCTCGCCTGTAACTTTCAGTACATAAAAGAAGGGGTTA